AAATCAAGGGAAAAAAAAAAAAAAAAAGCTGGTGAGAGAAGTTTGGGAGCAGCAGAGAAGGCAGGGGAGCATGTCTCACGTGTTCATACCAGGTGTTGTAATGCAACAGGGAGAGATAAGGGCAAGGGAGAGAGATATTTAATTAGGCATTTCTGCCTTTTTTGTATAAAAAAAAGGCACTGCTCTCTATTAACTCTGATTTGCCTGGTTTTTCCACTGATCTATTATTCTTTCTGGGCTGATTTCTGGAAAATTACAGACACTACCAGTGCTGAATTTCAGAGACGGGGGCAGCTGAAAGTTACGTGTTTATAGAAAATATTTCTGTGCCTTTCCTTCCACAAGGTGCCTGCACCGAGGTGGTCGGCTCCAAATGGCTTTGCACAGCTGCTCTGCCCCAGTTCCTCTCCTCCATCCAGCAGGTACCACTCATCCTTGTTCTACAATTTGCTTTTCTCTTTCCCCCAGGTTGCAGAAGGCAATGGGACAACATCACATGCTGGCCCGAAGCGGAGGTGGGAGAAGTTGTGGTACGACCGTGCCCCAAGTACTTCAGATTCCTCACCACTTTTCTTGGTAAGCAAAACCAGACCACTCGTTTCTTTGAGTTGGTTTTATGGCTTTCACCACATGTGGGATTTCACATCATATCACAGGGGAAGCGTCTTGCTATAATCAGAGGGAGAAACAAGCTTTTTGCACAAGGTAAAGGAGGTTTCCAAGCCGTACGTGAATCTCCAAACCATTGGAGCATCCTCCCTACCTTTCTTGCAACACCACCTATTATTCTGGATCATAAGGATGGAGAAATGGCTCCTGGTGAAATCCAATCATATGGATGTTGTGCAGCGACAATTGAATCAACCTGTGTAATAGTGTGTTTGTTGTAGAAAATGAACAGTTTAGCACTGTAATTAATTAAGTCTCTGACATCAAGTAAACAAGCTAAAACTCCGGGTAAGAAAGTATTTTTCTGCTGAAATGACAAATTTGGCCAAAGGCCAAGAAATTAACCTGACGAATAATGGACAGGGAAGGTTAATGAAGAAAGCAGCTGAATTCACTGTTCGTGATGTCCTGGGAAGCTTTAATTTAAAACTCAGGTCTCAAGAGCCAGGCAGCAAGAGGACTCTTTTGTCTTCTGGTAGTTTATAGTCATTATTTACTATTTTTATTATAGTAGCCCTGCCGTCCTCCACAGAGAATTAAGCTCTTTTGCACTGGAAATTATGTAAATTTTATCTGAGCTGATAAGTCTCTGCTTTTACAGCCTTGCAGTCCAAACACACAGTAGATTATGAATGGGAGTGAGGATACAATATCATCCCAGTTTAACAGACCAGGATACTACACCGATCAACTAGCACACACTGATTACATAACTTGCCCAAAGCCACACCAAAAGTCTTTGCAATTCAAAAAAAATAATTCAAAAATTTCAAAATTCAAAAATCCCCAAAGTCCTGTCCTAGTGCTGTAACCTCCCTGTTTCCAAAACTCCCCAATAGTTCATCACTGCTCCGTCAACACCCAGGGAAAGCAGGCTGAATCTGCCGTAATATCACATCTCGCACGACAAGACCCCTGTGCATTGGTCCAGCCGGGTGGAATAATTGCCAGCTGTTGATGCTTTGTGCCCTCTCCTTGCCTGAGCACAACATTCACTCACTGGGTTTTAAAGACCCAGCAGAGTTAGTTAAAAGAAGAAGGAAAAAAAACTCTCTAAGAAGTTTTTGAATACCATCAGAGCAGAGCAATGAGGAAAGTATAATATATGTATTATATTGTGTGTATATATATATATATATACACGTATGATCCATCCCTGGAGGGGTTCAAGGCCAGGCTGGATGAGGCTTTGAGCAACCTGGGCTAGTGGGAGGTGTCCCTGCCCATGGCAGGGGGGTAGGAATTGTATGATCTTGAAGATCCTTTCCAACCCAAACCATTCTATGATTCCATGATCTAAGAAATCCATAAGGATACCTCAACTGATGCTAAGATACCTGGAATGGCATTTGTATCAACAGATTTTAGAGTTTTCCATGTGTAAACCTACCTATGAGCTTGTTTTACAGACAGTGGTGAGAAACAGACTCTTTAGAGTTTCGGTTCAGCTGACTTTTAGACTTTAACCTCAGGATGAGTTGAATGGCATGATTAAACCGCATGTTCCTCTCCATTTATGATTGAATGGCTGTAGAGTGGCTCTGGCACATGTGAATGTCTTAAGATATGGGTGAATCCCACCTTTGCAGGGCACACGTGCTAGCATCTCCTTCTGTAAACAGGGAAACCGATGCCATTTCCAAAGCAGAAACAGCGTTCTCTAAGCTCTGCACTTTGCACAATCACATACAAGCGTGGAAAGCAGATATGGTCTTCAGTGAAGGAAGGGTGAGATTGTCTCTTGTTTTATAGGATTTGTTGCAAAGTTAATGCCATTAAAGCTTGTGAAGCAGGTCTGCCTTTGTAATAGTGAGTGTCATTGAATAGGTTTCAAGGAAATCAATCATCTGGTTAATGTTTATGTCTTACTCTTTGATCCCTTTGCAGGAACATGAAAGCTTATACCGAAGTTGTAAGCAAGGGAAAATCTTTTTTATATTCATAGCAGGAAAAGGGTGAAATACTGGGAAACACAGAGTTAATGTGATTTTCTTGCCTAATGGAGAAAATGCTCTTCAAATGACTAATATCCTATCTCATGGTAAATAAAGGATAAAATATCTCATGGCATTTAGAAACCTTAAAGTGCCTAGCACAGTCCTGATGTCATTTGACATTAAATTTTTATGCCATTCACAAATCCAGAAGATTTTCATTATTTCGAGACATTTGTCAGTACTGAAGGAGAGGGATGAAAATATTTTTGGCACCTTTCGTTGTTAAAGTTCATCACTTGCTATCCCCTGACCAAAGCATTGCAGCTTTCTTTCAATACGTAGAAGGTGATGTTTGTAATAGGGCTTTGTTTCCTGCAGTTTGTCCAAAAACAAATTATCCATCATCTGCAAGTTAAACAGTACAAATTACCACTGACAGTTTTGAAGCTTCAGCTATGAGATTAATTGATTTAAGAGGCTGGGGATGGGAATAACCAAGTGGAATCCCACTCAACAAGGATGAGATCCTTCTGGATTTCAGGACCACCTAACTCCTTTTTTCTTCTGATGCTCTAAATTTACTTCTGCTCTCCTCTCCCCTCCCTCATGAACGTTATCAGATATCACTGCAGCTTCAGCCATACCTTTCCTCCCGTGCTCCACGAGCCCCTGATTTCCCTCTGTTCTCCAATACATAATGTCTTCATCCCCTTGTTTTGTTCATCATTTTTGCACCAAACACCGACTCTTTCCTGCTGTTAGAAGTACACTGGCAAACACTGGGCATGCGTGATACTGGGCAATAGAACTTGCTGGCGTTGATGGATGCTGCACCATGAATTAGCCAAGCTGTGACAGCGCTGTCTGGAACAGATGTTGTTATCAGTGCATTTTTATGTGGGTAGGAAGCCATCAGAGAGTCTACTTGGCATTGCCAGCCAGCACTGGTTCATGCCCTGCCATCCTCCTTTTGCATTTAAATATAACCTGGTCCAACAGGTTGAAATTCTGAAACCATATCACAAGGAGACAACAGAAATTCTTGGAAAACTATTGCACAAATAAAGAAATAATGCAAGGAAGCGGTCAGGAAACTGATAATGGAAATTTGCCCAATATATCGTAGATCACAGATAATGAAAATACCACTTTGATTGATCACCTGAAGCTTTTATTAAATTTCTAAATGTCCTCTTCAATACTGGACATCATCATTCCTCAATCCTTGGGCCAGGGTTAGTAGTGGGAAGGCTCCAGAGATAAACTGTGAGTCACTGGAGTAGGGTGACTTCTTCAAGGCCACCCTTGTTCCTCCAGAGTACAAGAGGGTAGAAGATGACTTGCCTCATCCCCCTGTTTCCAGAAATTGTAGTCCTTTCAGTCTCTCCCTGGTAAATGGCAAAGATAAACTGAAGCTGTTGAAGATAGATATTCTGGTAAATAAAAAGCCCATCATACTAGAAGAGACTGGAAGAGTGTGGCTTAGTGAGACTTGCTTTGTTTAGTAAAACAAAAGGTGAGAGTCCCCATTGCAAGAGTGAAAAAAAGGAAGGGAAAGGGA